TCAAATTTCAACTAAGCATTCGTCATATATTGTTTAACTAAGATTAATATTACATCCGGAATGTTAACAATTACGCTTTTACTAAAAACATTTGAGCATTCAAAGAAAATTATGCTGCTATTTTCCTCTGTAATTACATTAACTCAAAAGTTATCAGGGATACAATATGAAGCTACAAAAACACTGCATAATCAAAATGACACATATACAACTAATCGTCATAAACGATATTTGGTTGAATATAAGTAAGTATCTATCGCTACAGCTAAAATAATAACTCCGCCAGTAGAACCTTCGGGGCTACTGCCGGTCCCAAGCCCGGGTAAAGGAGACCTGAATGCCAAGGTTGGAATGAACAACACTGGATATGGAGACATCATGGGACGACATGGACTGGGAGAAAGGAACGAAAACGGTGAGAGATTTGCAAACCTATGTGCCTTCAACAAACTTTTCTTCGGTGGCACAATATTCCCGCACAAACGCATACACAAAGCCACATGGATTTCACCGGATCACACTGCTCAAAACCAGATTGATCATATCTGTATCAACAAAACGTTCAGAACGACTATGGAGGATTTGTGAACCAAGAGAGGAGCTGATATAGCCTCAGATCACCATTTGCTAATCGCCAAAATGAAACTGAAACTAAAGAAGCACTGGACAACGGGGCAGACAACATCGCACAAGTTTAATACGGCCTTTCTTCGGGATACCGTAAAACTCAATGAATTCAAGATAGCCCTCACCAATCGGTTCCAGGCCTTTCAGGATCTACACAATGGAGAGGACGCAACATTGGAGAACAATTGGAAAGGGATTAAGGAGGCAATCACTTCAACATGTCACGAAGTTCTGGGTCACAAGAAGTACCATCACAAGGAATGGATCTCTGTTGATACTCTTGCAAAAATTGAAGAAAGGAGGAACAAGAAAGCAGCAGTGAACGTCAGCCGAACAAGAGCAGAGAAAGTTACCGCACAAGCTGCATACACAGAAGCAAACAGGGAAGTGAAGAAGAGCATCAGAGCTGACAAACGAAAATACGTGGAAGATCTAGCAATGACGGCGGAAAAGGCTGCAAGAGAAGGAAACTTGAGACAATTGTACGAAACTACAAAGAAGCTCGCCGGGAACTATCGTAAACCAGAACGACCAGTGAAAAGCAAGGAAGGAAAAGTAATCAGCAACACTGAACAACAGCGAAATAGGCGGGTAGAACACTTTCAGGAACTATTGAATCGACCAGCTCCACTGAACCCACCCAACATCGAAGCAGCATCCAAGGACCTCCCAAGTAATATTGGCGCACCTACGATTGAGGAGATCAGTATAGCCATCAGACAAATCAAGAGCGGCAAAGCAGCAGGACCAGACAACATTCCAGCAGCGGCAATGAAAGCAGATGTATAAGCAACTGCGAAAATATTTCATATCCTCTTCAAGAAGATTTGGGATGAGGAACAAGTACCATCAGATTGGAAAGAAGGATACCTCATCAAAATACCAAAGAAAGGCGACCTGAGCAAGTGTGAGAACTACAGAGGCATCACTCTTCTTTCAATACCAGGCAAAGTCTTCAACAGGGTATTGTTAAACAGAATGAAGGACTTCGTAGACGCCCAACTTCGAGTTCAACAGGCCGGATTTCGTAAGAGAGAACAAACCAGATCCCAGTGGAGGAGGAAATCAGGAAGAAGCGGTGGAAGTGGATAGGACACACTACGAAAAGCACCTAACTGCGTCACGAGACAAGCCTTCCAATGGAACCCTCAAGGCAAAAGGAAAAGAGGAAGGCCAAGGAACACACTACGCCGAGAAATAGAGAAAGATATGAGAGGAATGAACAAACACTGGACAGAATTGGAGAGGGAAGCCCAGGACAGAGTTGGTTGGAGAAAACTGGTGGTTGGCCTGTGCTCCATTGGGGATAACAGGCGTAAGTAAGTAAGTAAGTACAGCTAAAATAATACGGATCTCAGCACGCTCGTCAGAAATACTGTTAGATTCAACATACCAGGCCTCTTTTATAAACAATAACATGCTATGATAATGTCTGTGATATCCAGGAAACAAATTTAACCTACACTGTATAGTACAATCTCACATTGCGTGCATACAACTTCTAAGTGACCAATTAGTGCTAGTAATACCTTATACTTACAAAAAACACACGGTCAAGAACACTAAGCCAATATGTCAAGCTTAGACATGAAAGAAATAATAAATCGGATAATTAGAAATAGTAATGCACATGAAGAGTTTAGCATCATATGTCTTCTACTTTGCTCTGCTATTCACCATCCCATTTGGCAGTTGATTGGTGTGTTTAGCATCATATAATGTGGAAAGAGGAGCTACTTAAACAACAAAGTCGCTAATATCAGTTGCGTAAGTAAATACACATCTGTCAGAACATAAGCAAACCCCGTCATAGACTTGTTAAATAGATTGATACTGTACAATGCTTTGTTTGTAATTTCACATCCTCGTAGATTAGATAAAAGTAGTGCACAATCAAATCCACACAAATAAATAAGCATAATTCCAATGAAAATAGAGAGGCTGGTGAATATGCACCACTGATGAGTCCAAAAATAGGATGAAACCGCCGTCCAGTCCTTCTATGTTTCTAGTAGTGGTCTAACATTGATCGATTTGTAACGGAGTCAAAATCACTATGTATGATGTCGCTATTTCGTTCTGTTTTCTTTCTATTTCAGGGTGATCAAACATAAACGCTTTGGAAGCTGAAGAATAAGCCCTGAGTGCTCTAAACTTACGGGATGACTCATAAGACATTGGTACACTACCCACCCTATTCCTGGTAAAAAACCCCGCGTATTTCAGTTTCAAATAAAAGAGTGCCATGACAACCACTTCGTGTTTCTCTCTTGGTGTGAGGTGTTAAACTAACCTTGTGTGTTGTGATTTTAGATCCTATACGCCATTCAGTGACTGCTGATTCCACGTGTTAAAGATTCATGTTTTCAATTAAAAACTCAACAACCTCCACAACCAGTTTAAAAGAAAAACAATATATATAAGATGCCTCGAACATTGAGAACGATGAATTATTTCAGTCTACATAGAAGAATCAATAGATGAAGAAATGAAACTTCATCAGTCGAGGTGGTTGGGACATGTGTTGCGTATGCCTAACCACCGACTGCCTCGACGAGCTTTGTTTTGTAGTGTAGGAGTAGGTTGGAAGAAAGCTAGGGGCGGCCAAACCAAAACATGACAGAAATCCATGAAGTCATTGACGAGTGGACTTAGCCATGTCGGTAGTTGTCGACTGCTTGGTTGGGGTCCGCGAGATGATAATAATCGATGTTTAGAGACCTTAAATGACATGGTTCTAAACCGTTTTCAATGGCGCAGATGCATCCACTCTTTGTGTTATCTCAAACCCCAACCTCCTAAATTCCTCATCATCTCTATCTTTCTAAACTTATCTCACTGAATCATACTTCTTGAATAATATCTTCTAATCCTAACCTCTTCGATTACTTCTAATACCTTTACTACCTCTTCTACTATTGGATTTGAATTGACAATTATATCTCTGTGCTAATGTGGTATGGCAACATGAACTGATGTACTTACGTACAAAGTTCTACGTTTCATCTGACTGACTGATCTAAATTCGATTCGGAAAAAAACAATGACTGATGTAAAAAAAAAAAACTGAGCTATTTAGTTTTTAATTTATTTAGATATATATATATATATGTATATACACATTGGTTACATAGTACTGAAAGAACATTTCAATTATTATTCCTGATTTGTAAAAAAGTAATTTAGATCAAACACAACAACAATAAGTTACATATTTTTTTTTACTATTTACAGAATGACCAAATAAGAAAAAAACAACTGATGGTCAACGAAAAATCAAATCAAATCAAATAAAAAAAACAAACCACAATGTTAAAATTCTGGCGTAAAATTCAATGGCACCACATAATATGAGTATAATAATAATAATAACACTCGAAAGAAATGATGTACAGACAATAGTCAATCAACACAATAATGAATGTGACAAACTTTCTCTATGAGGGAGGAGAAACATTTCACCGACATACTTCCCCACATATATATACATATATGCGCGTAAATGTGAATTGGATAGAGAGGATATCATCATCAGTGAGCGAAGAGAATTAATTGTAGGTGTGGATCAACTCTACCTAGTCGCATTCAGTTAACACACACACCTACACACACACACACAGAGTGAGAGAGTAAAACACCAGCAAATCCCAAACTAAACATTTTATACAATGAGAGCAAAATCAAAAAAAAACCCAACGACAATAAATATTAAGGCAAAAATAAATACTATTTACACACAAATTACATACAACAAATTAATGAAATATCTATTTTATTTAATTATAACATAAAAATAAAATTAAGATTTAAAAAAACAAATTGTTTTCTTTTTTGTGGAGAAGAAGAAGAGATTCTACAAGAAAGAAAACAAATAAACAAACACAAACAACAAACCGGAGCACAAAAAATATTGAACATTGAAAAATTGATCAACAGTGCGTTTTATTGCATCACAAAAAAAAACAAACAAACATGAAATGCACTTGGATTGAAAAAAAAGTAGTAATAATAATAATAATAATAAACACAATTTACAATGACAAACAGAAGAAATAAGTAAACTGTGTACATACATACATGGTGAATGTGAAATTGAACTAGACAACACAACATAAAGTAGAACACAGAGCGAATAAATTTGGCTAGAAAGTAGCAGGAGTAAGCAAAAAGGACACGGGAAATGACAACAGCAACAGCAACAGCAGCAACAACAACAACGACAAGCGAAAAATAGAAAGTGATTACAAAATCTTATCCATTGTAATAAATAATTACACATAGTAATAAACATTATAACAACCAGTGTAGAATGATAACATAAATTTAGTACAAACTATAAATGTCCTGAGTATATATATATATACATACATAACTTTCAAGTAGTTTGTTTGTTTGTTTGTGTGTAGAGAATTATCAGTTGAATTACCTGTCAAATGTTTATGAGAAAAAAATAAGATGGATAATATTAGGGAAGTAAAATAAAACGATTAACTATTACGAAATAAATTTGAGATATATATATATATATGACAAGGTTAAAAGTTGATTTTTATCATTGATTCAAAAGTACATAGTTCTCAACATGTGTGGTGTTGATTGAATCAGGTAATTTTCAAAAATCAATCAGTAAGTCAGTTACAACGTAGAACGTCGTACGTAAGTACATCAGTTCAAGTTGTCATACCTCATCAGCAAAAAGTAGCAACTGTCACCTTAAATTCAATAGTGGTAGAGATAGTAGAAGTATTAGCAGTAGACGAGAAGATTGGGGTTCGAAGATATGATTCGAGAAGTCGAATTCAGTGGGATAACTTTAGAAAGAGAGAGATAGGGCTGATGAGGAATTCAGAAGACTAGGATTTGAGAGAACACAAAAAGTGCATGCATCTGCGCCATTGCAACCGGTTTTGAGTCACGTCATTCAGGGTCTCTAACCATCGATTACTACCATCTCGCGGGCACCAACCTGCTAGTCGATACCTACAGAGATGGCTCAGTCCACTTGTCAGTGACTTCATGGATTTCTGCCGTGTTTTGGTTTGGCCGCCCCTAGCTTTCTTTCAACCTATTCCTACACTACAAAACAAAGTTCGTCGAGGCAGTAGGTGGTTAGCCATAGGTAACACATGTCCCAACCACTGCAATTGATGGAGATTCAATACTTCACTAATTGTTCTGCCATCCTTACCTAGTACTCGTTTCCTGACGACAGCATTGCATACTCGGTTGTTCCAGGATATACGAGCAATGCTTAGGAGACACCTATGATCGAAAACCTACTACGTTTATAGATGAATTTCATTGGGAAATCCGTCGTCAGTAATTAACTCTCACCAATCAGATACATATTTGTGTAATTCACTTTTAAAAGACATTCCGAATGTGAGAGCTAGTGATATTACCTGGCTGTAAGATGGTGGTGAAAATTTTTTAGCTCAGGTGGCTGATTGTAGTTGTGTTTCGTTCTCTGACTTGGATGTTTTAGTTGGGAAGCTTTCATCATTGTTCGTCTGAACAATAATCATCAGCACAAACTTCAGATAGCACAAGTGAAATATTCGAATTTCTTCACGCTTAATCCGTAGCTTGGTTCTGTTCAGCTCGATTTTAATTGGTTTTTTATTGACCAAACGATGTTGTTCAGAAGACGAAGAAGAAGAAGAAGAATGAAAACTCCACAACCGAAACATTCAACTCAGAATGAATGAATGAAACTCTACCTGGTTACGCAAAAACCGAAGAAGTCAGACTAGTGGCATTCAAACCTATGTGATTTGGTGACTGGAGTCACCCTTTGAAATGTACCTTGAAATAGATACAGTACAGTACAGACTGAAGGTCAGTCAGTCAGTCAGATGCAACGTAGAACTTCGTACGTAAGTACATCAGTTCATGTTGCCATACCACATCAGCACAGAGATGTAATTGTCAATTCAAATCCAATAGTAGAAGAGGTTGTAAAAGTATTAGAAGTAATCGGAGAGGTTAGGATTAGAAGACCGTAGCTGCTGCTACCTTGACGTGGTGCTCGCGCTTGCCTATCGTCATGACCCAACCGAGCTATACTGGCTGGAACATATGTTCCTGCAGGTCCTACCATGCCAGGCAAGTCGATTGGAGAACGATGAAACTAAAAGCAGCTATTCAAGGTCTGAGGGCGAAGTCGTACTGCTGACTACTGCAGAAGGGTGTGATAGCAGTAAAGTGTTTCCCTAGGACAACCAGTATCTGCAGCGATGCTGCCTTCTCACAAGGAAGGAAGGGTTAGAAAAGGTCGACCCTAAAAATGTCACACCTCACCCTACCTCACGGATTTCCGTCTCCGTCGGTAAGGGCTGCCCAATAAGGGCTTTTAAAAAGATCGGAGCTAATACTCAAAAAACCTTTCATAAAAAGGCCGTGCGTGACCGGCCTCAAGCAGTTGTCCCTTGAGCTCTGCGGTCACGCACCCAGGTCTTCAAGACCAACACTAATCTACCTTCCTTTTCAGGTCCCTCAAGAAACAACCTTTCACGGTGTGGGCAGCCGGGAAGTGACAACCGCCCTCATACCCGTAACAGTACGAGACCAAATCGATCAAAATTAAATCCCTCCTACACCCACACATACCTCTCTTCTCTCCACAGACTGAGGGTATTATGAAATCATTCCAAACAACAACAAATACAAAGTCTATGCATCAAAGCAAACAAAAATGATAGATATCAAAGGAAAATACCTGATAATAGTTGAATTTTGTTTTTTTATTTGAAAAAAAGCAAAGCACTTCATTATTATCAAGTTGAGGTTTGATTAAAAATTAGTAAACCTGAGTAGAAGAATAAAACATTCTCAGCATCAATAATGATTGATATGATTTTTGTTTTTTGTTGTTGTTGTTGTTATTGAATGATTTGAATAAAAGAAACATTGAAGTTGTGAGTTGTGAATTAATTTGGCACACAAGGAACACATGGAACAATGATTATGATGATGATTGTTGATTGATTGATTGACTTAAACCAAAGTATTTGATGTCTTTTTTTTCTGAACTGGGAAAAAAATAAACAAAATTTTTCTGATATAAAATGGCATCGATAAAATTTTATATAAGTACAACAACAAATTCTCTAAAAAAACAAGAATTTAAAAGAAAATTCAACGTGATACTTGGTGTAAAAATGTATTGAAACAGTAATATTAGGAGCTATGTGAGCTGGTGGAGACTAGCTGGTTAGGGTCCGTGTTGTAACCGCTACTGTTGTAATGGTTTGCTTATATGTTTTCTCAGCTAAATCCTATTGTTTAGTATTCTCTGACCACAAAACACTGGACAAGTTCCCAAGAATCAAAAAACACGGTTGAACAGGAAAAGATTATATTCCAAATAGCAAGGTTAAATGGAAATAAGAAGCCAAAGGTGATGGAGAAGGCGAAGGCAAAGAAGGCAAAAATAGATACAACACTAGTCTATTTATAGCACTAACATGGAAAGCTTCTGGATAGAAATTCACGTGATCGGCTGGATTAGGTTTAACCAATCAGCACGCAGCTAACAATACGAGAACCTTCTACCCTGTTCTCCAAGATTCGATCAGGCGCTGATTGGATAAGAAATTAGCCAATCAGCGCGCAGCAACGTAGTCATGCTTTAATTCCATTTATGTCCCACTAACAGGCCGTGAGACAATAGTAGCCATAGATAGTTAGAGACCTTGAATGACATGATTCAAAATCGTTTGCAATGACACAAGTGCATCTAGTCTTTGTGTTCTGAATTCTTCATCACCTCTATCTTTCTAAACTAATTTCATAAAAAAAATTATACTTTTTGAATAATATCTTCGAACCCTAATCTTCTTGCATTACCTCCAATACTGCTACTAATCTTACTACAATAGGATTTGAGTTGACAATTCAATCTATCTGTGTTAATGTGGTACGGTGTTACGCCTGCACGTAAACACGTCAACTTTATATACTTGAACTATTACGAGTTTACCTAGTCGGAAACGAGAGCGAGGATCCGGTGACACGACATGTTACTGAAATCCGATTATTACAACCCCCATATTTAGTTAAAATAAGAAGACATGATGTGAAGCAGAACGTGTATTCTACAAGCATCCAGAAAGCATGAGGTCCGAATCCAGAAGAGAATCAGGATCCCGGACTAAGGATCCGGGACCGAGCCCTGGTCCTGGTCGTGGTCAATAAATGTTACAGATAATGCGTATTTATACATTTTGGTCGAATAGGAAACAGCATCGAATTCTGTGGCATTGATAGTTAAGACGACCAATAGGAAGTAACATTTGAAGTGATATTGATAATCAGGACAACCAATAAGAAACAACATTGAAGTGTTTGACTTTGACAGTTATAACGACCATAATTTTGACCAATAGAAATCTACCAATAGGGTTTGACCAATAATTCTCTTAGGATATTGGATGAATATCCTAACTAACATACGGTAACTCGAACTGATGTACATACGTACCAAATTCCAAAATTTATCTCAATGAATAGTACTTCTTGAATAATATCTTCTAACTGCAGTCTTTTTGATTACTGCTAATACTTTTATTATCTCTACTACTAAGGGATTTGAACTGACAATAGAGTCTCTGAGCTAATGTGATATGACAACATGAACTTATGTACACGTACATAAGAAGTTCTACGTCGTAACCGACAAATTGAATATTGAAGGAAAAAAGCGTTAAAAATCGCACAGACGAAAACTTGAACTGATCGTACCGAAAATTATTTGGAGATTTGCAAGTGATTTTCATCACAAAATGACATCGATTCGAAAAGTTGTCAGTGTTTGGAAGAACTATCGAACTATCTAGCTTTTTTTCTAAATTTTTTGTTAATAAATAACAGTTTTAATGTGTGAAAATAACGTCGATAAAATCATCCATCTACTGACTTCTGTTATGATTCAGTTGACTGGTTTCTCTATGAATTTACTATGACTATTTTGCTTTGAGTGTCATATTTGTTATAAAGAAAATCAAGTTTCTTGCTGAGTAACTAACTGACTTCACTTTCTCCAATCCCACAAGAGACGTGTTGTATATAAGCCATCAAAATTTATCTAATTCGATTCAATCTCGCCTTATATTCCAACAGTCTCTCAAGTTACCTATAAGTCATTGCAAAATAGTTCAGTTACAAACGAGAAAACATTGAACAGCTAGCTGTCCTATAAAAGTCTGTGTACTTCTTGGTAGTAGATACTCACGACCCATTTACCAGTATCTTAGTTAACATGTTTTACCTTGAAACTTATGAATAAATTTCAAATGATCCGCTCAGGATGTCAGTCAGTTAGTCAACAAAAACATAGAGCTTCGCACTTAAGTACAACGGTTCAAGTTGCCATACCACAACATTATCACAGAGATGTAATTGTCACTTCGAATCCCATAATACTAAAGGTAGTAGACGTATTAGCAGTAATCGGAGAGATTAGGGTTCGACAATATTATTCAAGAACTAGAATCTGTCAAATAAACTTAAAAAGCAAAAGATAAAGGTGATGAAGGACTTCGAAGGTTAGAATTGGAGAAAATACGAAGAATGAATGCACCTGCGTCATTGTGAACGATTTTCAGGTCTATAACCATCGGTTAACATCATCTCGACCCCCCCCTACCAGGTAGTCGACACCTACTAACATGGCTCAGCCCAATTGCAGATGTAGAGCGATTTTTTTTTCTAGCAAACAAATTAATATTTAAAAAAAAATTAGGAAAAAGTAAGAATCACTAACAAATTCAAATTTTAAATCACTTACTTGTTATGATAGCTAGCATTCATTACTGCAGGGTGTAGTATATAGGAGGATGAAATGAACTGTTGTGGTTGATGATGATGATGATGATGTTTCGGCATTGGATTGACCAATCGACTGGAAGTTGACCGAGGATGATGACGATGTCTAGTGTGAACTACATTAGGCAATGGATGATTATCGTATAAATGTGGTGTATTATTATGGAGAATATCACCATTATTATTATTATTATTATTATTATTATTATTATTACTATCATCACCATAAATGTCATTCATATTCACACTATTTGGAGATGGTGGAGTCAGTAGACCAGGATCATAGTTTGGTATAGTCGATGTAAACATCATATTCGATGGATAGTATGACTGTTGTAGTTGTTGTTGTTGTTGTTGCTGATGATGATGACTTTCATTAATGACAGCATTGTCTACATTGACAAATAAATTCGACGGATATACCTCATCATCATCATCAGCATCATCACATGGATGACAATGATAACAATGATGTAGATTAGAATAAGCATCTATATGTTGCTGTCCAATGGGGTAGTGTTCTTCGTGGCGATCATTAAACTGATGAACACTTGAATCATTCATATAAGATATAGGCAAGCGATCAATATTTGGATATAAATTACATTCTCTATTAGAAACTACATTCACATTGTTAGTATTATTATTATTATTATTATTATTATTAATACTATTGTTCATAGTATTCACTGTTGTATGTAAACATTGAGATTCAATTAAATCTTGACGTGAATACGAATAGAACTCTGTAGGATGAGGATATTCACATGGATTAGTATTCTTTAAATTTTTATCAATAGGCAAAACAAATTCATCTGTAGTTGGGAGAAGAAAAAAAAAAGCGGAAAGTTCGAATTTTCCAATATACAAATGTAGACATATATATATATATATAACGGCAATTGATTAGCAATTGGTTATCGAATGAAAAAAAATAAATAAAATTGTACAAGAAATTTATCTAAATTACGATAATAATAATAGTAATATAAGTAGTAGTAGTAGTAGTGGTAGTAGTAGTAGTAAAGTTTACATTTGAACTAATTTATACAATATAAGACATGAAATTGTATGTTGTGGTTTTTTTTCCTTGTTTTGATAAAAAAAATATATAAACAGTGCATTGGATTTTTAGTGAATGATGAATGGTATGATAATTGTACAACAGTTTTTATATCATGAATATACATATATATACTGAATTGTGGCTCGTTTCACTCAGTCAGTCATTCATTGACTTCATCGAAAATAGACACATGTAACTCAACTTTGAAAAAAATGATGAAAACCTACCCAGAGAATAGTTTTGAGATTTGTTATTTGATTGAATCAAATTAAAGGAACCAAGGATTAGGGAATGTGGGGGTTATATGGCAAAGAATCGTCTTCCTTTAGAACCGTAGTTCTGAAACCTTATTAAACCGTCTACTATTCTAAGATTTGTTTAGATAATGTTATCGTTTTGTGATGATGTGTGACATGGTAAGTTAGACCGATGTATATGACTGACTTGATAAGAGATCGCTATGAAAGATCCATTCTCAACGCTTAAATAAATAATCTTTCTATTGATACTTATACTCTATTCTACTTTTCATATTAGTTTAAAATTAACAACAAACATAACAATCCCCATTGATGCAATTGTGAAAATCACCTGTAGTCTATGGACCTAAACAATTTCGGATCAAGATGACAGATATATTAAACTAAGATATTGGAAATCTTACTATGTAACGGGTAAAATGAAAAAAATTATCTCATTATATATTGAAATGGACAAACAGTAGTTGAAAAGGGCAGCTAAACATTTATGCGTCAAACAAGTCAGTGAAATTGTATATGGGCTGGGATATTGTCCAAGTATCTGAGACGAGGTAGGTGCTTATCTTGAAAGGCCATAACACAACCCTTTGATCAAAAAGGCTATTTTTCAAGGCAGTGTGGCAAAGTCAGGTAAGTAGGCCATTTGTTACCGCAGGATCCTGGCATCCAAGTGCCACAATGATTTGCAATTAAGGATTTTCAGCGAACTTAGGTGAGTACTACGTATCAAACAATTTAGTTAGGGGGCAGCGGACAATCAATTTACATCCCTTCGATTTCGTGAACACCTATGCTATGATAAGGCCGTGGATAGGACTTTCCTGGCAATGGCTTACACGCGTGACCGCAAGAGAGCACTCCGAAAGGGAGAACTGATTCTCTTTAATCCCGGCCGTACCAAGGTGTTTGGAGTTGCGAAAAGAATAATAAAGTCTTGAAACAATTTTCCAGAAAATTAGGAAGTAGGGCAACAACTTGAAGAAGTGGACACTGAAATAACACTAACATTATTACGAAGTGTCCAAAGGACTGGATAATGAGGTATATATTAGAAAAAAGGATTAAAAAATCAACAGCAAAAAAGAGTAGGGAAAACGGTGTTAATAAATAAAATTGCTTGTTAAAAGAAGAGAGTGAAGTAATACGAATTTCTTAATTAATACAATAACTTTGATTGTTGGTTTGAGTATTCCAATAGCTTCTACTATGGGTAGGAGACAAATTCGAATCCCATCATAAGGAAAGCTAGCAAGTATACGATAGATCAATATAAATGATTTATATTTATCTAATATATAACCACTAGCGATTAGGTTGGATACAATGGAGCTGCTCATTGTTTCATTTATGGGACATTTGTTACGTATGCCTAACCACCGACTACCGCGACAAGCTATGTTTTGTGGTATAGGAGTTGGTTGGACGAAAGCTAGGGGCGGCCAAACCCAAAAATGGCACAAATCCTCCAAGTCATTGACAAGTGGACTGAATCATGTTGGTAGATGTATAGACTATCTGGTTGGGGTCCGCGAGATAAAAGTCATCAATGGTTAGAGACCTTGAACGACATGGCTCAAAATCGTTTGCAATGGCGTAGGTGCATCCATTCTTTGTGTTCTCTCTAATTCTAACCTTCCGAATTCCTCATCACCTCTGTCTTTCTCTTTCTAAATTTATCTCACTGAATTATACTTATCGAATCATATCTTCGAATCCTAATCTTCTTCATGACTGCTAATACTTCTACTATCACTATCACTCTTGGATTTGAACTGACAGTTACGTAGGAATTTCTGCGTTGTATTTGTCCGCCTGTCTGTCTATCATAACCCCGAATAGAGACGTCAACTAACTCGTTGACTCTAATTATTAACAAATAGTATTGTTCACTAAAATATACTGTTCAGATTCACAAAATGGGAACTTCTTTGATATAACGTAAAATACTAAAAAAAAAAATAAAGTACCATTATTACACAGCAACAATTTGATGTGAATACGAAACAGAAAGAGATAAAGAAAGGAAGTATATAAAACTGTTAGATGAAGGATGCACAGTTAGTTATACAAGAGAAATACAAAACAGCAGAAAATACAAGTTAAAAAAAAAACCGTGTGTCAGAATTCATGATGACAATTTCAACAACTAAACACATACAACACATACCTCCAGACACTTATTCAAAATAGAAATACAACATACATTACAAAATAGATTAAAAAAGAAATCTCACATAAATTATATGACGTTCAGATTAGTCTATGAAAAATCTTTTTTTTTTGAAAAAAAAAACGGAAAAGGTTAACAATTCTTACGCAATCAGTCAAAAACTAATAATAATAATAATTTTTATTCATTCCAATATGTTACTTGCCAATGTTGCTTGCTTAAAACACATATATGTATGTTTAGCAGCATTGTGAATAGGTGACAATTAAAAACATGACACCATTTTTACAATTTCGCAATGATAATCGCTTGTGCAAAATGAGCATTAATAGACACAAAAATAACTGTACTGTATAACATGTTAGTGTACATGATAAGAATTAAAAAAAACAAAACAGTTGTTGTTACTATCAACTTCATTCATTGTCATTCAAACTCAAATGAATATTATTATTAGATTTTTTTGCTTGGGAAAAAGAAAAACTGGAACAAGAAACAATCGACTATTATCGAGTTACAAGAAATTACTTTTTTCACAAATCTGTGAATATTTTCAACATAGTATACTTATTATTTTTCAGTTGGAGCTTTGGAGATTTGAGTTTTTTAACACATTTGAATTAACATCAATAAATCATTGTTAGTCCAGTATTAGGAACCTGGTAGCACTGAAAGACAACCGTTTCGTCCTGGTAAGAGACTCAGCAGTGCGCATCCACGACTCCTGCACCTCGTAGGATTCGAACCTGGGACCTTCGGTATTGTGCGTGAACGCCTAACCATCGGACCACTGGGACGGCATCCAGCGGTGTTAATGTATAACTCTGATTGATCTACGGATTTTGCGCGACCTGAAAATATCGTAACTGTGCTCACTAGTGACTAGCTTCGTGAGGAAATTCTCGGAGTTCTAGTGAGAAGACGTGACCAATGGAGTTCAACTCTGTCGGGTGTGTAGGCAGTAACTACCAAAGACAAATGGGTGACGTCGTGCGAAATCTGTAGATCAATGAGAGTTAGACATTAACACCGATAGAAGCCGGTCCAGTGGTCCGATGGTTGAGCGTTCGCGCACAATACCGAAGGTCCCAGGTTTGAATCCTGCGAGGTGCAGGAGTCGTGGATGCGCACTGCTGATGTGTCCCATACCAGGAGGAAACGGCCGCCCAGTGCTTCCAGGTTTCTAATGGTGGTCTAACAATGATTGATTAATGATTCCAAATACTTACTTTTAAAATAAAAGCATTCAATTATATATATAACGAAAATTATGTGAGAATATTTAAGATCATTAACATAGCAATAAACTGTAATTATATTGACAACAATGAAAAGGAATGGAATATGGGGAACAAATACTTAACACATTGACTAGTGGCTATTTTTATTGAGTGATAAGAACAATTCAACTCAATATTGTGTAGTTAGCTATGAATAAACTTTAGATTGCTGTTTTTTAGGTTTTCAAATTATTTCAAACACAGATACACAGAGGAATAGGCAAATGGAAGTTAGAAACAAACATGGATGCATCTTAACCATTTTGAGTACAACAACTTCTTCCAACCTATTCCTACACCGCAAACCATAGCTCGACGAGGCACTCAGTGGTTGGGCATTCGTAATACATACTCCAACAACCTCAGCTGATTGATTTTCAATTCTTCATCACTTGATCTGACACCCCTACTTAGTACTCATTTCCTAACGACAGTATTGCTTATTTGACTGTCCCAGGAATCATGAGCAATGCTTCTGAAATACCTATGATCGAATACTAGTAAACCTACGAATATCTTCTACTCTAATTCTAACCTTCTGAATTCCTCATCGTCTCTATCTTTCTCCTTCTAAATTTATCTCACTGAATTATACTTATCGAATCATATCTTGGCTCCTTAATCTTTTCTATTACTGCTAATAATTCTACTATCGCTATCACTCTTGGATTTGAACTGACAGTTACGTCTCTGTGTGCTGACGTGGTATGGCAACCTGAACTGATGTACTTATGTACGAAGTTCTGCGTTGTATTTGTCTTTCTGTCTATCTGACTGACCATGTTTCACAGCCATAAAGTAGGACAGAGCAAACTGCTGCGTAGTACACTCGTCCTTTGGTTAGCAAACGGATATCTCGTAGGTATCTAATTATATATATATATGAACAGAGTAGTTATATATAACAAGAAAAAATATCAACAAACATTGATCCAATCTTACCATCAGTACCACCATGCATTGAACCACCACTTGGTGGTTCACGTTTCATCAAACCATTCAATATTGTCGACTGAAGTAAATAGTTTGACATTTCTTGATTAGTGGTGCAATGATTATTATTATTATTATTATGCATAGATGCTACTATTGCATCAATAGATTGATTACCAGATGTTGCCATTGCTGTACCAACATTCCGCCCTATAGATGATGATGATGTTGATGTGCCTAATATTAAATGACCAGCATTAGGAAATAATGTATTCATGATGATATTGGGATGTTTACAATGTATCATTGAATGAAACATTGATGAAGATGAATGACATACACCTGATGGTGATGATGGTAAATTATTCGAATAGAAATGAGATGAAGTTATATAGGCAGATTTAGACATTTGATCGAAATAATGCTGACGAGGATGATTATTATTAATATTATACGAATTATCAATATTATCAGAGGACATTAAACTTTTTAATTCGAAATTGTCATTTCTAGTTAAATATTTATTCAATGGTGAGGCCGACGATGATGTGGATGTGGCTGGTAAATGTGACGGTGGTGGAGGTGGTGGACTCATTGGTGGCGGCACTCGAGAATGACGATATGATAGAGTTGTTCTATCATCATACTGTTTTTGTTGTTGTCCTGCATGCGCATCAACCAGTCGATTAGTGGTGATTATAGACGATGTCATCAAATTGGCAGCATTTAAATTACCCAATAGAAATCCACTTGTTCCATTGTAACTTGTCTTCTTTGAAGTTTTATCCACTATGATTAATTCAACAGTGAAATAAGATAACAAAGAAAAGAAAGAAAAAAAGGGACGTATTATGTATTATAAGTAGTATATTGCTGTTTTAAGAACGAACAACCAAATAAATATATATTGTATGAAAAGTAACATTAAAAAAAAAGAACAAGATCATTTGATTTTCCATAAAGAATGTATGTTTTTCTCATATCTATTTATCTATCATATCTATCTCTTGTATCTATCTATCTATATACATCATATACAACTGTCCTAGTTATGAGACTATAAGAAATATGATATTTAAACAAAAATATTTTTATGTCTGGTTATGAATGTTACGCAATGTTCAATTTTGTGATAAAGTTAACAACAACCATTTATTATTATTTTCTTCACATTTAATTAAACAATCTCATGATGAACGGGAAAATATGTAGCTGATGCACAAAAGCAAATATATGTAGATTTTTATTCAGAAAAATCGAATCAATTCATTTTATATTGGTGATTTACTCTATTCTCTCGATTAAAAATGGAAGGTAGAAAATCACTGTCATGCAATAATAATAGAGATAGCTTATAGTTTAGACAACCAACAACAGCCATTTATATGGAATCTCTTCTGAGAGGAGTGAATATATTAGCTTATATTATTAATTTGTATTAAGGAAGTGATTGACAGACAAAGAAGAACACCGAATACAATGCTATAAAGGTGAATTTTCGATCTATAAATGTTATGTTCGTTACTAAGTACGCTTGAAGCTATTACGAGTTCACCTTAGTCGATAAACGCGAACGAGACAATGAACTAGCGTCCACGTAGGCTACCTTGAATCCCAGGCTGTAAAACAGAAGTCTTGTTAAGCGTAGAAAGTATATTCTACAAACACCCAGCAATCACAATACAATCAAGCATACAACTCTCGTTTATTTATACAACATAGGAACGTCCTTGGGAAAATAGCACACTAAAATACACAGCAGCTAATCACAGCCATGGATTTTCCTGGTGGGATTTGAAATCTCAAGGTCAACTGATCAGCCCATGCTGGCAAACGTGAAATCCGAAATAAGGCATTTATCAAGCGAGTTCTAGGGATCTAACATCCCCAAAAATAACATCATATACATTTCTGTTATTTTTATAGGATACACCTTAATAAACTAAATGAATAGTTTGCATTCCCTAATAAACTATTTACTCTTATAAGCAGTAAATATACAAGTAAAATCTTGATGCTGATTAGAATTTATTATCAACTACCAGACTGTAAACCTCAGAATCTGGTAAATATATTCTTTGATTGAGGTAGTTGATTTATACTACTACCCTACCACAATCCCCGGCACACTGCTGATGAGTGCTATACTAGGACGAAACAACCATCTAGTACTTTGAGTTTTTTAATTGACGTCTAGCATGGATCAATTCATGATTTCCATGGGACTCAAGAATAAGGTTTATGTCATGGAATAAATAATCTATAGTGATTTAAACGGTCATGATAAATTAGGGTCAGTTGTTAGTTAACCAACCATCAATATGAACAAATGATGGTTAGTTAGTTAGTTTCAAGCTTAATAAATTCAATTGAATCTATGCAGTCATGTTGTAATGATAAGACAATTGGATATATGACTGCAAATTACCATTATATATCACCTAAAGTAATGCACTCAGTTAGTTATACAAACCGCGTGTAGTATATACCATTGCGTAAAACCTTACACGGCTTGTTTGTTCTAGCTTTCGGTCAAACTATTTAACTATTTCTCGTCGAGTTATCTATCATACACGTCTTTTGACCTTGTCAATCATTCACCTATGTATGTTTTTGGTTGTTATTAAGTGAGTGCGCATGTGCATTACTTACTTCGCTCATATTATGTCTAGCTTATTTTTGTCTGACTAAAAATACTTAGTCACAGGCTATTCTTCTTCTTCACTTTGCTTCCCTTAACTTCTCCGCTTTAATCTTTATGTGTTTTCACGTGAACCATAGCATGAAATAAACTCATTCAAATCTAACTGTGTTGGACTTCTGATTACCGTCGACGCATGAACGGGGATCATCTAGAATTCAATATGTATATGGAAATTAGATGGAAAATTTATTTCACTAGTATAATATAATCATTCGACCAAAATGCAGCCAGATCTCGAGCCATTAAATAGCCAATTAGATAAATCCTAAGGTAAAGTAGTGATCAGCTTTTGCAACACAAACACACACACACACAAAGGCTCTTAATCAAAGCACTGATATATGTCTAAATTAATTAATTAATTAATTAGAAATTTAGAATAAAACAAACACAAAACACAAAACTTACTATTCGATGCATTACACGAAATCATATTACATCCATGAATAGTAGAATTATTATTATTATTATTCATAATTAAACAATGTTTATCACGTTGTCTTTGACGGCATACACATAATACAACTAAACAAATCATAATCAACAGCATGATACCAGTTAAAGCACCAAAAATTAAAAACATCAAACGATTCGATTCGGACGAGTTAAATGCAATCATTGTTTTAGTATTATATAATTCACGAGATTTGGATATTGATCGTAGAGTTGAAGAATCTTGTTTCATGGAATTGTCATTTGTCGATGATAATGACATCTCAAATAGAATGGAATAAATATTTAAAAAAAAAAGAGGAATTAGAGTTTTCTATTGGCGAATAGTTTCTCATGTGTAAATGGAACGAAATCTGTATATACATCAGTTTAATTATTTAAGTGAGATTACTGTTAAGCAACTAGATTTCTATTATTTTATCAGATAATTTATTCAACTGTTCAGCAATACCATCAGCAACAAACAAACCAGATTCCAGAGAAGAAGGAAATTAGAAAGAAGTGATGGAAGTGGATAGGAGACACATTGAGGAAAGCACTCAACTGTGTCACAAGACAAGTAGTACACTTGAAACCCTCAAGGTGGAAGGGAAATTGTTAGGTTCGTCACAATGTATGTTTGAAACAATTACGTGTTCACCTCAGTCGATAAACGAGAACCAGCGCGTCAGGTAGGCTACCCTGATACGATGACTAACCAAAAAGTATTGATAAGCATAGAAAGTATATTCTACAAACACCCAGCAATCACAATACAATCAAGCATACAAATCTGGTTTATTTATACATCATAGAAACGTCCTTAGGACAGTTACGAAAATAGCATACTAAAATACACAGCAGCCAATCACAACCATGGATTTTCCTGGTGGGATTTGAAATCTCAAGGTCAACTGATCAGCCCATGCTGGCAAACGTGAAATCCAAAATAAGGTATTTATCAAGCGAATTTTGGGGATCTAACATTCCCAACACTCCTCCCCTTTTTAATAGCGTGTGCTCCTGGGGTCGACTTGCATCTTGACTATCGTTCGCCGCTGTCTGAGAGGATTGCTTCTGGAACAGAGAACAGCTTGCTGTTGAGTTTCTTCTCGTGGTGAGGCTGCCGGTAGGTTGAAGGTATCAAGTAGGATGTCAAGGGGAAGTTTTTCTGCTCTTGATGGGCGATCTGGGGCTAGCCGCCTGCGTATCTGATTTCGATGATGTGACCATTTATCACCTCCAACCTCTACTTCGTATATAACTCGCCTAACTCTTCTGACCACTCGCGCTTCTGTCAAAGGGCCACTGTTTGTTCTGTAGTCACGGGCAAACACAGGAAATCCCACTTCGTAAGAGGATTGTCTTTGCAGCCTTGTCTCTACTGATGTTTGTGCATTAGTCGGATGCATCAGGTTGTGGATTGTTTTCAGTTTTCTTCACATCAGGATTTCTGCTGTAGACTTCTGCTACGATAACAACTCATTTGGTGTCATTTGATAGACGTACATGAAATTTTGTAACGCGTCGGGTGGTGTCCGTCGCCACATGTTAAATTCGTCACTGGGTACGCTTGAAACTATTACGTGTTCACCTTAGTCGATAAACTAGAACGAGACAAAAAACCAGCGTTCCGGTAGGCTACTCTGATCCGATGACTAACCAAAAATTCTTGATATAGCGTAGAAAGTATATTATACAAACACGCAGGAAGCATAATCATCTCAAGCACACAAATCACGTTTGTTTATATATAATAGAAATGTCCTTGGGACAGTCACAAAAATAGCGCACCAAAATACACAGCAACCAACTGAACATTCTTCTATCAATATCACTCTTCTCTCTCTTTTCAGCGTTAACCAAAAAAAAACATTTCAGATTGTAAATTTATCTTATTTTAAGGTAAACCTCCTTCCTATTGAACAGTTTGTTAATTTTTCATACACGTTCCACTTAGATAGAACCAAGCCAAAAGTTACAGTGTTTTTTTAACAACATAAAACATCATTTACATTACATGTGAATTATACAATTATTTTAGTTTGTTTTTTTTTGTGAAAAAAATAAAAACACGATCAATTTACAATCATGAAAATGAACTACAGAAATTAGTGAAATAAACAATTAACTTAGTTGTTCTTATTATGTCTTTTTTTTCAAATTTACAAAAAAAAATAATTGTGTAACTTTTCTTTTCACAATCGAAAACAACATGAATTGATAAAACGTTTTTTTTTTTCAAAAAAAAAAGATCATTACAGAAAATGGTATAACACATGTCAGAAATGAATGTCAATGTTACAGAATTTTAATGTCATTACGAGATTGTGAAATCAGAAAATTGATCCATGTTAGATCATTATTAGAAATCTTTAAAACACTGAAAGACGGCCGTTTCATCCTTGTACGGGGGGACTTATCAGTGGCAGTGTGCATCCACTATACTCCTGAACCTCTCAGAAATCGAACCCAAAAACTTGGGGGTCTTGAGCACGAACGCCTAACCTCCTCTGGACCAGTGAGCTAGTTTCTAACAGTGTTAATGTCTAATTTCGATTAATTTAACGTAACAAAAATAAGTATCAATTAGATTTTCTTTTTCAATTCTAGAAGTAGATAATACTAAAATGGTAGTATTCAAGAAGCATGTTTCGTCCCATTTAGGACTTGTCAGCTACATGTACTTTGATTGTAGTGTTATTGTTCGCACTATAGAGTTTGAAACCAGGACACGAAATGTAACTTACTTTTGAAGCAACTTAACAAAGGCTAAGGCATATCCATCATTTCAGGTGAGTAAATTTACTATGATCATACATACAAAATAAGTTTAATATCTTAATACTACATAAGTAATTACAATACACACACATTGAGAAAAAAAAACACGTCTATACAGAAAGGGAAAATCAAATATTAAAAAACTTACTGAACGTGGCTTTACAAATACTTCATGACTGAATCGTGTAATTTTTCGTCCATTCAATCCACCTGTGAAAATTGTCGATTGTGGATCGAGGCCAGGAGGTGTATACACACCGTAAACTACAATTTGATAACCTTTACCTGATTCTAAAGCTTGCAGTTTATGTTCCTTAAAAAAAAACAGAATACATGAAAATAAAATAAAATGCATAATAATGATAACAGTAATCAATGTTGCAATTGTATCTGTTTACACTTGAGATTGAATGGTTTTGCTACTGTTTTTAATAAGAACAGGGGGTTTACTGTGTGTTAGTACTAATGAGAGAGAAAGAGAGAAAAACGATCGTGACCGGTGGGTAGTTAAAGACTTTGAATGACATGGCTGAAAACCGTTTGCAATTGTGCAGGTGCATTCATTCTTTGTCGTCTCACAAATCCTACTAATCCCCTGAATTCTGCGCGACCTTTCATTTTTCTCTTTTTAGATTAACTTCACTGGATTATACTCGTCAATTTATATCTTTTCCATTGCTGCTAATGCTGCTACTACTTCTACTACGATGTGATGTGAATAGACTATTCGATCTCTCTTTGTTAATATGGTATGGAAACTTGAAATGATGTACACACGTACCATCATCATCATCAACAGCAACACAGAACGTCGCATGCACGTAAGTACATCAGTTCATGTCGCCATACGACATTAGCACGGAAATGTAATTGTCACTTAAAAATCCCATAGTAGTAGATGTGGTAAAGTTATTAGCAGTAATCGGAGAGATTAGGGTTCGAAGATATTATTCAAGAATTAGAATCTATTGAAATAAAGTAGAAAAAAAAATATAAAGTGATGAGGAATTCAGAAGGTTAGGATTTGAGATAACAAAGAGAATGAATGCACCTGCGCCATTGCAAACGGTTTTCAGCCATGTCATTCAGGGTCTCTAACCATTGATCACTATAAACTCGCGGACGCCAACCAGGTAGTCGACATAAACATGACGTTGTCAGTGACTACATGGATTTGTGCCACCTCAACTGTTCAAGTTTCAATACTTCATCTGTTGATCTACCGTCCCTAACTAGTATTCGTTTCCTAACTACAGCATTGCTTACACGGTTGTCCCATGATACACCAGCAATGCTTCAGAGACACCTATGAATATTTTCTACTGCGACTAGCTATGTTTCACACCCGTAAAGTAGGAATGTATGTACCAAGCTCTACGGCTGACTGACTAAATGATGTTCAGTTAGTACTTTTATGATCAGTGAATAGAAGTTAAAATCTCATCTACCAGTAGTAATAATAATAATAGCGCTTACATAAACAGACCAGTTCAGATTTATATGTTCTACAGAATCGAGAAAACAAAAATTCATATCATAACTAAAGAGGAAAAAGTATTTGTGAAAATATCACGAACTTGAATCATCTAAGCAAAAACAGTAAAAATATTCAACAGTAAAACAAACAAACAAACTTACTGTAGCATTAGATCCATCAACAAAAACTGCTTTAAATCCATTATAAGTGATTTTTCCATTAGCTGAACATTCTTCAGGACGATAAAGTAAAAGGAAATGATCAATAGGGAAACCGACAGCCGATGTAGCTAACGTCCAACGAGTTAATATTCCACCATCCAACTAATTTAATAATAGATAAATAATAATACAAAAAAATATATATATGATGCAGCTACTGAAGGAGAATAATGTGTGGTGCGCGCTACTTATAAGTAGTATATGACGCGAGTGTAAACGTAATGTCTGGCAGCAGAAGATGGGGGAAGATCAAGAAAGGAAGAGTGGGAACACAATGGGATTTGTATGAAACGCATGAATAAGCGAAATGTCAGACAATGGATTGATGATGGATTGAAGATTTGCAAATTAACCGTTTACGATATGGTTTTCTTATTTTACTGAGTAACTCTGTAATTTGCGATAAATACAATTCGGTTGCCCTCACCTGTGTTCTCCTTCACTACAAATGAATCATAAGTTTGTGATGTGCAAGATGCGTAAGATTCAACGTCGGGCTCACCATTTATGTTATGAGTGAGTTAGATTCAATGTCGGGCTCACCAATTTGTGGTGGTGTGCATATTATAATAGTTAAAGTGGCTTTGCTGCTTTTGTTAGATATAAGAGTGCGTCGTCTACGTGGTACATCGAGTCTAGTTCGTTGATTCGTTCAGAGAATTCATTAAGTTCCAGAGCTGCTTTGTCGATGTAGGGCGTCGAGGTCAGTAATATTATGTATGATTGCATTAATTCGGCGTCTGCAATACCAATTATGTGGTCGTGTTCGATTTATAGTCGGGCTCAACAATTTGTGGTGTGCCAAAATAAACGTATTCAACACATCGTGTTCGCCTCCTGATTTATAACCGCCAGGCGCTATTTGGAGATGATTGTCAAAGACGAGCGAATTACGAATTTTAAGAACAGGTTAGGTACCAACCATCACGAAACTAGTAATACACCTTGCACACCACACGTTAACAAAAATAACAAGAATTATTACAGTTGGAAACTATCAATCCAATACAGATCATTCATCATCTTCAAAGTAAAAAACTGACAGCATACTGTCATTCAGAACAGTAAATACAATACAAACATCTTTAATCCGGTCAAGTGAGATAACACCTAGATTAATGGGCGATGTCTGGTGGTGAAGGATTAATTTGAAAGAAAGTTATGAATGGTTAAATCAAAATATGGTATTAGTTTATGAACTCAAAGACTCTTTGTCTGAAGCATACTGGTAGACACAAGCTACCTACCTATCTAGTCGGGGTCTGTTTCATTATCGTGACTAGCAGCTACAGAAGTTGAGTAATTTGGCTTAAAATCAGCCAAAGTGGTGCAGATTTATTCACTCTTTGTCCTTCCTAATGCTCTAAAACCACAATTCGCTTAATACATTTCGTTCTGTGAATTCATTTTCGATGCATATCCTCCATCATGCCAAATTTTTGTTTACTATCATTGACACTATTACTACTACTGTGGTGCGAGCTACTTATAAGTAGCATATGATGTGAGTGTCAACGTAATGTCTGGTAGCAGAAGATGGGAGAAGATCAAGAAAGGAAGAGTGGGAACACAATGGAATTTGTATGAAACGCATGAATAGTGAAATGTCAGACAATGGATTGATGATGGATTGAAGATTTGCAAATTAACCGTTTACGATATGGTTTTCCTATTTTACTGAGTAACTCTGTAATTTACGTTAAATACAATTCGGTTGCCCTCACCTGTGTTCTCCTTCACTACACAATTAATACTTCTTCAATAATGAAATTGAAAATTTTTAAAAAAATTCAACAAACAAACAAACAAATAAATTAAACAAAAAGTAGAAATTACCAATCGTTCAGTTTCTGTAATAACTGGAGCAACTTTAGAAATATGCTGAAAACTAACTATATCAGACCATGGACTTTTATCAACTAATCGATCATCATGATTAATTTTTTTAATAGCATTTATACGAAATTGATAACTATTGCCTGGTATTAATTCACCTGGATGACGATTAGTTAAATAGAAATGTTTGCTTTTTAAACAACATACTGTCTCACGACTACAACATTCTTCTACCTAGAAAAAGAAAGTAAAGTAATCAAAGATGCACACATATTGAGTTCATTCAAATTAAAATTACAATTAAGTGATCAATCAATATACATGGTAGAAATGAAAAGAAAGGAAGATTATTTAAAAAAAATTTCAATGAGTGTTTTTATTACTGAAAATACATGAAAGGCAGACGCGATAATTGTAATTTGTAATTTGATTGAACATTTTGAAGTACTGATACAAGTTAGAAAGTCTTTGAAAACCATGCGGAACCAGACAGTTGTTCAATCCTATTGTCAGGCACACACACCATACAACAAAGTGAATCCATCATCTGAGATGGGATTACGATAACAATGTAGGTATTTCAAGATCAGTAACATATCCTTAGATCATTCGGACCATTCGCTTTCATCATAACGAATTTAGGAATCATACAAAAATTTAAATTTCGATAGTGATTTTCATCATGAGCTATAATGCGTCAGCTAAATTGTTTCTCTCTGATACATTCTTACATAAACTCGCATTTAAAGCCATTGAAAGGGAAGTCCTACTTAACGCATTTTTGTGTGAAGGGGTTGTTTACGAAATTTTGAGGATGGAAAGTGAGAACGTCCAACCGGGGATTTAAACTGGGTTGATGAGTGTGAAATATCCACTTAGGTAGAGTTTTAAAACCCTGATTTCACATCAATAGTAAATGTAAACTACAGGATCTAGAGGGAACAAATGGCGTATGATTAAATTATTGGTTACGGGGTGTCAATTAGAGAACCAATACAGATACATGTGTAGATTAACTTTACAAATCTTATCAAACTACTTAAACTATATACGGTAGTGTATTCATCAATAATCAAAGGTTTAAGAATCGACTGATTAATTCATTGAACCGTGATTAATATCTCAATGAGTAGAAAATAGAATTTCGGGCGTTTTGTGGCTAACATCCTTATGGTTAATAACAACAATGAATATCTTTATCAAATACTCCATTAGTGAAAATTAATTTTTATTAAGTATAGATTACTATTTAGAAATTTATTTAGGCACATAAACATTGGTACAAAGTGTTACCCGAATATTTAGGTGTCACAAAAATTATTAAATTATGTGTAAACTTGGATATTGTCATAGTGTATAAACCGAAGCAGGGTGGCCATACGATGTATATTTCTCAAGACAATGGAGCAACATCATGAGATGAGACCGCATGGTAGTTGGTGATCAAGTATGGGTTCGTACGCCGTTTGTTCCCTCAGGATCCTGAAGCTCAGCTGCAACCTTGGTTTGAAATCATGGTTTTTCAACTCTCTTAAGTAAACCCTCCGTACCCGTTAATCCAGTTAAAGAAAGAGTCACTACTTTACAACCCTCTCAATTTCGTGAACGAAAACAAGAAGAAAGCTGTAGATAAGACTTTTCTGACAATGGATCATGTGCGAGCATTTCGAGAGAACGAGACAATGGTCTCTCCTTAATCTCAGCCGTATTAAGCAAGGCTTTTAGAATCATACAAATTAGTATTGACGATGGTTTCTTTTTTCCTCTCAAGTAAAAACCAATATTCATCACATGGTCTAATCCATAAATAACTAACACAACAATCTATTATAATTAATTGATGATTTTCATGTACCAATGATTTTGCCTAAATGAATCAAAAAGTGATTTTAGATGAATCAATTAATTAATGCATAGAGTTCTATCGAAAACCTACTATGTGTATTGAGTATATAATACAACGATAAATTATCATCAATATGATGAATTCAAACTTGTTTGTATTATCTATCTATCTATCTATCTATCATGTCATGATAGAAATGATTCAGTACAGAACAGTACAGTACAATACAGTACATATACTTTAGAATGATACATATATCTATTGAAAACTCAATGTAATCAAGTTGAGAATCAATCTATTTTGATACAAATGGTATTAATAATAATAATAATAATTAGAATTTTATTCTATGGACAACAAGTTCAAAACAAAACAAAAAATATAAACAGTTTGATTAATGTTATTATCATTAGGGTTTTTTTTAGTAATACTATTATAATTATTCAAGGCAAAAGGAAAAGAGGAAGGCCAAGGAACAACACATTACGCTGAGAAATAGAGAAACATATGAGGCGAATGAACAAACATTGGACAGAACTGGAGAGGGAAGCCTTGGGGACAGAGTAGGTAGTGGAGAAAACTGGTGGGCGGCCTATGCTCCATTGGGGGTGACAGGAGTAAGTAACTAAGTAAGTAATTATTATTATTATCATTATTATTATTATTATTATTATTGTTATTATTTTATTCTGTATTGATATGGTACGTGAATAGTACTTACTAATTAAAAAAAAAACAATTTCAAAACTATAAATAAATGTGAATACAATTAGTTTTATCTGACAATTGTTCCTTTGAGAAAAAATTTTTATGTTTACTCATCTATATTGACAGGATATTATTAAGTAAAGATTGCTCTCTATAGATAGATAACCCTACAGAAGGAACAATTTGATTTAATTATCATGTACATTAATATTATACCTTCAAATAGATCAGTAATCATAATTAGTGTATGAGTGATGATACTAAGCGAAACTATTTCTGGTTTCAAGTTGGATCAATGTGAGTGATGTTTAAAAAAATTAGGAGGGTGATTGTGACTTACCAGAAGACACCTACCTATATGGTAGAAAGATACATTTTTTCTCAAGTCCTTTAAATTGAAGTCTGGGTTAACAGTACGTAGTCTTAAATAACCTGTCAGAGTAATCGCAGTGCCTAAGAGGAAAATACTTCAGACTAATTATATATGCTTTTTTTATTATGAATAGTTTGTACTTAATATCGAAGAAAAAATCCATACGGCAAGTTGAGGTATACTACTTTTAAAATAAACCTATTCAACCTCTTTACTGTGTTTTGGATAGGCAGCATATAATTAAAATATGCTGGCTGTATGAAAGAGATATGTTTTCCTCTTCACGCCTCTACATTATAAATTGATAGTACAATTTTTTTAAATCCAAAGCAAGATGAAACGTTAGGGGGGAGAATGAATGCCTAAATTATACAGTCATAATTCCATACATAACACACAAAGAACAGAGGACTATGATGAAAATCTGTTTCACATCACTTACTTATATGATTGACATTCTTTAAGGTAAGAAAAAAATGAATAAAAGACTAATCAGTGAATGAAAACATGCATATATATATACATATATATATTCAAATTCACGACTACTAACCGTTTCATCAATTGTTGATCGATGAAATAACCCATTCGATTCAGGACTACGTGACTTGAGAACAATACGATAAAAATCACAATTTACTGAATTCCAACTAATCAATACAGCCAAATTGTCACCAACAGTTGTTACATTGGGTTTATGTAAATGTTCATCTAAGAAACATGAAAAGTTGAAAGTGAGAAACAATCAATATAAAACACAATTAACGGAAAGAAAGAAAGATATTATTCAGTACATGAACGCCTAAACACTGAACTATAACTCCTATAATTCCCAATAATGAACTTACTAAACTTCATTCCTGAACAAGATACAAACAATGAGAAGTACAAAGAAGCTGTACACTTTCCAGATTAGTTTAGGCACATAAAACAATGTAGTTTACACATGGTTTATGTGTGACTCAGATACTCTGTAAGTTTTGGAAACACATATCTGATTTAAGAAAGAAATTGTTAATAATCTAACCATTGTTTCCCTGGAACTCGTCGAGGAATTTCCGTCGGTTGATGATTAGACAGAATATTTTCAGCTAGTTTTCTGCAAATTTTGTATAATTTTTTGAAAGAATTTTCGAAAACTCCCGACAAAGAGACAGAGGATTCAATTTACAATGAATAAATACTAGTTATTTAGCACCTACATGGATACTTTTCTTCGCCTACAATTAAGTATTATTTTTTAACTAATAACCTTTGAAAGGAATGAGAATGAGATTATGGAGAGAAAATGTTTAATGCCATGAGAAAAAAAACAATTTAATTACTACTAATTACGCATTTTATTTCACCGATTTGATTACATCCGATGACCCACTGAAACATAAAACTCTAATACTACTTACTGATAAATTAGTTGTAATCATCAAACAAAGAAAACACACCTGAATTATAAATCATAATAATAATCAATAATTTGATTCTTTAATCTACCAGTGTATCAATGTATGGTTAAGTGGAGGGTTTCAACACTTGGTTATAAATAAGACAAACTTTTATTACAGCAGCTAAATTCCATTTCACCGATAAGATTTGAATGAAATAAATAAACTTAACACATGAAGACTTCATTGAATATTTTTTCCATGCGAAAAAAAAATAGAAATCTATCTTCACTATGATTGAACTTATCATTTCATTTATCGTTGGCACAGCTAATTATTCTAAATATTCAAAAGATAGAAATAATAATGGTTCAACTATATAATCGAATCTCACATAATCATTCCATTAGACAAAGATCAAAACTGCACACCCACACTTACATGAATCTCTGGGGAATGATAAATTCAACAAAGGCAGTGTACCGCCGATATGTTCAGCAGATGGAGACCATTCATTGATTCGGTGTTCTTGACTACGACGAGTACGATTTAAAGGAATAGCCACTTGATCATTATGCCGTATACTATACATTTCATTATTAAAGCTTCCATAATAAGGCTCCATGGATGCACTAGTGAATTTTTTCAATTTTACATTATTACTCACTAAACGATTAGAAAGATAGGAAAACAAATATTGAAAATTCATTAAAAAGGTTATAAACATATCCAAGTCAGTCAATCAATCAGTCATTTTTCAATGTGGAATTTCGTACGTACGTACGTACATGAGTTCAGGTTGTCATACCACATCAACACAGAGACGCAACTGTAAGTTCAAATCAAAGAGTGATAGCGATAGCAGGATTAGTAACAGTAATAGAGAAGAGATTAGGGAGCGAAGATAAGATTCGAAAAGTATAATTCAGTGAGACAAAAAGATAGAGGTGATGAGGAAATCAGAAGGTTAGAATTTGAGAGAACACAAAGAGTGGATGCACATACGCCATTGGAAACGATTCTGAGCCATGTCGTTCTAACCATTGGTGACTTTCGTCTCGTGGACCCCAACCAGGTAGTCTACATCTAACAACATGATTCAGTCCACTTGTCAGTGATTTCATGGATTGCTGCCGTGTTTTGGTCTAGCCGCCCATAACTTTCTTCCAACCTACTCCTACACCACAAGACAGCTCGTCGCGGCAGTCGGTGGTTAGGCAGACGTAACACATGTTCCAACCACCTCAACTGATGAAGTTTCAATGCTTCATCTATTGATTTGCCACCCTTACCTAAAACTTGTTTCCTAACGATAGCATTGCTTACTCGGTTGTCCCATGATACACGAGCAATGTTTCGGATACACCTATGATCGAAAACCAGCAACCTACGAATGTCCTCTACTCTCACCGGACATGTTTCGCATCCGTATAGTAGGACGGTGTGAACTGCTGCACAGTACACTCGTCCTTTGGCTGGCAAACGGATATGTCGCTTGCACCATAGGTGACGCAATTTGGCAAAAGCCAATCAAGCTTCCTATGTGTAAACATATACCATAATCTCTTGAATGGAAGTTATATTAATTCTTTTCACTGAATGCAATAAAGAAACAAAAAGCATACACATGATAAGTAAATAAAACAAAAGTTAGATTCATTCTTTAATTATCTGTCTGCTTTTTCAACCTAAACAGACTTCCTAGTCGATTGAATATGATAAACTACGATGTAATATGGACAGCATAATACAGAATTCATAAATATTAGCTACCCAGTAAGCTATCTTACAAGAAGAGATGAGTTCAACGATGTTCTGACTTGCCAAGAAGAACGTCTCTCTAAGTGGATTGATTTCAGTATTATCACAAATTTAAAAAAAACACTAGAGTGTGACAGTGATGAAGTAATCTAAAAAAGGCCAGGGATAATGATCATTACACCTTGGTTGTTGTATGTCAGGATAAAACGAGCCAAAATAATTTAACTAATGTACACACATTGTACAACATACAATCACCAAAAAATAATAAAAATAAGAAATATGAAATAACATACATGAATCTGATGAAATCACAGGTTTCATAAGTTTGAAATAATGTTTATAAATTAACTGTTCACCAAAATATAAATTACAACTGTATACACCAAAATCAGTTGGTTGAGTCACATTAATATCTAATACATACAACAATGTAGAACATGTTAATTTATGTTTGGAAGCATTATCATTGTGATTAGTATTCTTGTACATTGATAATAATTGATGATATGATCCGTCAACTTTGAACCATTTTACATGGAACAAATTTAAAAGACATGCAATATTTAAACGTTCATATAAACTGCGACTATTTCCAATAGGTAATAAATTGTGCAAAGTTTGTGTAATATCATCAGCATCATCGTCGACAACCTGATGGTATAAATCTAAATTATATGGTGATATACAAGTCAATTGTTTACGATCACCAATATTCATTTTGAATAAATCAATCGTTGGATATTGCAAAGGAAATAATAGAACTTTTGATAAAGCAGTATTGAATTGATCTAAGAGGAATTAGAAGCAACAACAACAATATCATCAGAAAATAATATTTGGAATTAAACTAAACAATTCAGTTTTTATTTAAATGTAAAGCAAAATAATGAACTCAAAGCTTTGTAAGATCCATTTTTGAAAGGTTTTGTTTGTGAAAATCCCTCCATGTAATTTATCCTTATTGATGCATTTACTTGTACATTTTGTTGATCTGTTTGATCCCATTTGAGATGGTAATATTTGTATTTTATTATAGTTTCTATTTCTTTTAACTTCACTGAGTTTCTATGATTCTCTTTGAACTGCATTATGTTGTTTAAGCTGATACTTCTTAGTCCTGACGACAGCCATATCGATTTGTTCCTCTTTTGATTGTGTCAGTTGCTTGCTTTCACTGGAATTGTGCATTTTGATTGTGAATTGAAGCACCCTTCCAGAATAAGAAGCACTCTGTGTTATAAAACAAACAAATATTATCTGTCGAACGAATTTGATCTATCCAGGAGGGATAGAATATCATTTATTTGTTCATTGAACAATTGTTGATGGAATAACTGGAGGGTAATATTTGTTTAGATAATGATGTATATTTATATTTATAAAGAATATTAGAATCGTTATCTACCCAAATCACTTGTTTTGGATTTCAACTGGTCAAGACGCGTATCTAAAATACCTAGACAGTTATTCCTCATTCCGAACCTCAGTTTGGATCCTACAGCTTTGAACTAAACGAAAGTTAAAGTTCTAAATCAAATATTCAAACCTTATTATTATTGAATTGTAAATTTCTAAAAATTAAAGAGCATAAACGGATTACAAAGTGAATGATGACAAACATACATGCAAGCTAAATGGCAAAGAATTTCAAGTCCCCATTTTCAAAAATCAGTTAGTGTTGTGAATATGTTTATGGTGGAATGTCATTGTCGCTGACGTGGATAGTTTGGTCACGAAGTCCTCATTGTATTGTAGTACTAATATCAAGCAGAGGTATGTGAATTTCTCCATATATTATTTACAGGTTGTTCCGTCGTCAGTTAGTCAGTTACAACGTACAACGTCGTACGTAGGTACATCAGTTCAGGTTGCCATATCACATAAGCACAAAGACGCGATTGTCCATTCAAATCGCACAGTGGTACAAATAGTAGAAGTATTACTGGTAATGGAGAAGATTAGGATTCCAAGATATTATTCAACAAGTATAATTCAGTGAAATATGTTTAGAAGTAGAAAGGTAGAGGCAATGACGAATTTGAAAGATTAGAATTTCATAGAACACAATGAACGGATGCCCTTGCGCCATCGCAAACGATTTCGAGCCATGTCGTTTAAGGTCATGGGAGACCAGGAATTACGTTTCGTGAATTCAAGTCGTTTTCATTATAGCAGTGCATTGTGTTTAAGGGATGTGAGAAAGGTGAGACGTACATATAAGAGAGATGTTACGGGGGGGGTGTAGGAACGATTTGATTGTGACCAATTTGATCTTGTGTGCTGTTTATTACGCATATGAGGGCGGATCTCACTTCCCAGCTGTCCACACACCGTGGAAGTTTGTTCCATCGACATTTATCTTGATTGCTTATGGTTGCCTGTTAACCTGCAGCTGTTATCTACCTCTTTATTTTAATTGTATCCTCCTTACATATTCATCACCAAAAAAAAAGAGAAGACTGTCATATATAACGTAAAGTAAATAGTTCTCCCGCCAAAATAACAAAAACGCTTTTCCAATTGTGTTCGTTTTTGTTTTTTTTTACTTTTCCATACGTTGTTTCGCAAAAATTCCTTTGTTTATTTCACATAGACAAAAATAAGAAATTTGTCATTTTCATTTGTGTGTATGACGCACTTCATTTCCTCATTCATTCAATTGTATTTTTTTTGATTTTTAACTATTCCAATTGTATGAAGTTTTATTTTTTTTATTTTATTTTATTTTAGCTTTTCTTTTTTACTTTTTTTTCCTGTATTATTATTGTCAAAAAACTATAAAAAAAATAAATTCCGCTTACATATTCTTTTTTTTTCTGCTTAAATAAAAAAAAGAAATTACAATTTTACATTGTACTTGGCACATATTAATAATAATAATAATGGCGTAATTTTTTTTATGACTTTAAAAATAGAATTTCAAAATAAGCCTAAAAATGAAATTAGAATTAAAATATGAAATTTATTATTATTATTATTATTATTATTTTCAACAGAAAAAAAAATTTAGTTATTACATTGTAAAATAGGCATTTGCATTTATGTATGCAAATATGGATATGTACATACAACATATACATTATAAAAAAAAAATTTCACCTTTTGTAAATACTGTTTGTTCATGTAGTACAATGGTACTTATTCCATTTAACCATACAGCAGCATTATTGTCAAGAATACACTGGTATATACCAACATTGGATAATTGCATTGAATCAATGAACAAGGAAATATGGTCTAAATATAAAGAGACAGAAAGAAAACAAGAGAGTGAGAGTGAGAGTGAGCAAGCGAGCAAGAGAGAGAGAGAGAGATAAGTATGTAGTGAAAAAAATTTTTTTTAATTTTACACAACCGGAAGAATGAAAACAAAACAAAACAGCCGGAGACGGTGACAGAGAGAGAAAGACAGTGAGGAGAGAGAGAAAGAGAGACAGAAAACTAAACATGAAGATGAAATATTACAGACTGTCTGGAATTTATCTGATTGGACAATCAATCCTATATCTATCTATGAAATGGTTGGCGTCTCTGTATTCTGAACAATAAATGGAATTCATAGATTCATTCACATGAGCACCAATACACACACACACACACATATCATAAATGTGAATAAAAACTTAGTTGGAACATCATCATAATACATGAAAATTTAATTTAATTTGAATGCAACTTAAACATGGAATTTATAAGCTGAATGTTAGTTACGATTAAAAGAAGCGGGAATGATTTTAAGACCTGTTTTAAGACATGACGTCAAAATAAAAAAAAATTTTGGAATGGAAACGAAAGAAAGACTAACTCTAGGTTAATACACACAATAAACCAATATGGTTCAATTTGCCATGATGTTGTTATCATTGTAGTAGATGATGTGATTTTAGGGTTTTTATGTAATGAAAATATTTTATTGTATATTTCAGAAAAAAGTAGATTTCAATTATGTTTATTTATATTTAAGTAATGTTAAAGCTATTATTATTTATTGGAGATGAGAAATCAAGTCAAATAAATAATGCCTGTGATAAAAGCTTCTTTTCAAGAAACCGATCAAACACTCAGTACTCATTTATAATTTCATTTTATTAGCAATGTAGTAGCGTGACTGATTCGACTGTTCGGTAAGACAATGATGATGAACAAATAGTATAGCAGTCTAGGTTAAATATGTAAAGGTTAAAGTGTGGGTCAGTCAGTCAGTTGCAAAGAAGGAACTTCGTACATAAGTACATCAGTTCAACTTGCCATACCACATTTGCACAGAAAGGCAAATGTCAAATCAAATCCCCTTACGATTGAGATAGTTGAGGTATTAATGGTCATGAAGAAGACTAGGGTTCGAAGATATCATTCAAGAAGTACAACTCAGTGAGATAAGGTTAGAAAGACAAAAGTAGAGATGCTGACGATTCCAGAAGATTAGAATTGGAGAGAACACAAAGAATGGATACACTTGCGCCATTGCAAACGATTTTGAGCCATATCGTTCAATGTCTCTAACCATTGATGACTTTCATCTCGCGGACCCCAACCAGGTAGTCTACATCTACCAACATGATTCAGTTCACTAGTCAGTGACTTCATGGATTTCTGCCATGTTTTGATCTGGCCGCCCCCAGCTTTCTTCTAATCTACTCCTACATCACAAAACATAGCTCGTCGAATGTGTGTGCATTAGTAAATAAAGTCAAAATAGCAATAGATATTAAATAGAAGTACCATTGATAGTAACAGTGAACATTGAAGAATATGATTCGAAAAGAAAGGATTTGGTCAGAAACAAGGAATGCTAATTTCGACATTGGATATCATCAGGATCTTTCATTCAGTTTAACAATATCCTTTTGAAGACTGTTCCTGATATTTGGAGTCGAGTGATGCCTCAGTCGTTCTCACACTTGCTGAGATCTCCTTTCTTTGGTATCGTAATAAAGTGAGTGATCTTCTTTCCAGTCAGCTGGTACTTGTTCTTCCTTCCAAATCTTGCTGAAAAGAATGTGGAGTATCTTTGCAGTCACTGCTATGTGTGTTTTCAGTGCTTCAGTTAGAATGTTATCTGGTACTGCTGCTTCGCTGCCCTTGATTTGTGTAGTGGCCACACGCAGATCTCTTCAATTGTTGGTGGATCAAAATCAATTGCGATGTCTATAGGTTCTGTCTTTATGTTAGATGGATTCAATGGGGCTGGTCTATTCAAGAGAACGTCAAAATGCTTTACCTACTTGTTTTGCTGTTCTTCCAAGTCGGTCATTATTTTCATCTTTACTGTGGTCATCTTGGTTTATCATATTTTCCAGCGAGCTTCTTCTTCTTATGGCATAGTTGTCGCAAATTTCCTTCTCTGGCAGCTTTCTGAACTATCAATGCTAGATTTTCAACATATTTACGATGTCAACTCGAATGCAACTCTGTACTTGGTTGTTTGTTGTTGGGTAACTGTCCCGTAACCTAGCTTTCTCCTCTCTTGTTCAGTGCCGCCAATAAACATTCGTTGAGGGCACAAAGGTTTGTGAATATCTCATAATTATGGTTCTTTTCTCCCAGTCCCTTTCGTCCCATGATGTCTTCATGTCCAATGTCGCCCATTCCAACCTCGGCGTTTAAATCCTTTGGTGGGCATTTCTCGATAACTGACTGCAGCCTCTCATAAAATTGATCGTTACAGTCCTCTCATTGTTACTGATGGTGGGAGCATAGCACTGGATGACGCTTATTGAAATCTCATCTTTCTTTGCCTTAAAGGAAGCTTTATTGATCCTGGATCAATGAGATTCCCATCCTATCAGTGCTTTGTGTGCTTGTTTGGACAGCATCAGGCGTTGCCTTATGTGCATGAGGCATTTTCTTCAAGGCCGGAGTACAACAGAATCTCGCCTGAAGCTAATCGTCCAGCCTGTGTCCAATGCGTTTCAAGTATTTCAAGCACCTTCAGGTTGTATCTCTTCATTTTTGCAGCAGCTTAAATAGTTCTTCAGGTCTCCAACATTGTGTAAACATTTCAGTTATCTATATATTAATGCTTGCTTTGGTTGTCATTAAGGATATCGGCCTCTTCACTTCCGAAGAAACTCGACTTTCATCATGAAGCATCATAACTCTTCTAAAAAATGAAAACCTTTCAAATCCTAGGACAGATTTTAACTGGTTTGAATTATTTGTTCTGCTTAGCGTATTTTAGCAAGTTGGTTTTCGAAAGGGATAAGGGTCACTAGCCACATGCCCAACCCTTTTACTTCATCCGAGTTTTGGAACTGACAGTAACCTTAAAAAAGAGCTTGAGGTGGAGTTTAAAATGGTATTATTATTATTCAAACTACTTCATAGTAAATGATTCCCAGTAATATCTAGTTCGTTAATGCATTAAAGAATTGCTTTGAAAACCACAGATCTAGAGAATGAAAGAAGATAGAAAGATCAGAGTGTAATTTATCATCACTTCTGTATAATCTAAAATGAATACTGATGCTGATGATACTAGTAGTAGTGTAGTGAATGAGAACACAGGTGGGGCAACCGGATTGTATTTGACGAAAATTACAGAGTTACTCAGTAAAATAGGAAAACCATATCGTAAATCGTTCATTTGCAAAATATCAGTTCATCATATCGAACTTGACTGTTGTTCCTGTTGCAAAACATCAATCCATTGTCACTACTATTCATGCGTTTCATACGAATTCCATTGTTTTCTAACTCTTTCTTTCTTGATCTTCCCCCATCTTTTGCTACCAGACATTACGTTGACACTCACGTCATATACTACTTATAAGTAGCTCACACCACAGTAGTATATAACTAATAAAAACGTTTATCAATAAATTCTTAGCATAAGAAAACCATATAATTAAGGGAAAAAATTTCAACACATTGTACTGAGTGTAGTAGCAAGTTCGTATAATGTAACGAACTAATAATAAAAACAATGAAAATTAAAAACACCATAACCAAAATAGTTGAACATGCAAACTAACAATAAGAATACTTGAAAAAAGGCGAAAAAAATACGACGTTAACATTCAAAATGAACAATGTATACATTTTAACATTAGCTAGAATAACAACTTGATTGTCATTATGATTTTTTTTTACAACTTTTGTACTAATAGTCGAAATAACAGTAGAAGTACTAGTACTAGTAGTAGTAGTAGTAGTAGTAGTCTGTAGTAGTCTGTAGTAGTCTGTAGTAGTATTGGTAGTAATGCTTCTTAAATAACTTTTATTCAAGTAATAAGATCATTTAGTCAAATCTCGACGCTATCACATGTATACCATACACAAAAAAAGTTACAAGTACATACAATCAAAGTGATTCATTCATTCATTCATTCATTTTTAATTTTTCAAAAATCTTCACCACTCTCTTTCTCTCTCTTTGCATTCATTGTCATGTACCTTGTCAAAAATCGGGTTAAAATAACACATGAAAGTGATATGATAAACTATTGTTTAAAGCATAACTAAACGATTAAAAACAACCGAGAGAAATCGAGAGGAGAACAAGAGAGAGCGGGAGAGAGAGAGAGATAGAGAAAAAAACATAAATTTTACAATTGAACAGAGACAAAGTATAAAAAAGAAATTGATGACAATGAAAATATAAGAATACAACAATTACACAAGAAAATATTGATAGATAGATACATATATATCATACAATTTATTTTTGGGGAGTGGGGACATTTTTCTACGAAACAACTTTCCTTTTTCGCTGTTCAAAAGTTACTATACATGAACAAAAAAGAAAAGTGATGCAAAGAAAGGTGAGTACGATAAATGAGAGGAAACAGTATAACTCTTTCTTCCCACCCCCTCCCAAAAAAAATAGAAGAATAAAGCAAGTATAGAAGGCAACCAAAAGTGAAGATGAACATTTACCTCCATATAGACAGACAGACAGACAAATGCAACGCAGAACTGTGTACGTAGGTACATCAGTTCAGGTTGTCATGACCATCAGCACAGAGACGCCACTGTCAGTTCAAATCCAAGAGTGATAGTGATAGTAGAAGTATTAGCAGTAATACAGAAGATTAGGATTCGAAGATATGATTCGATAAGTATAATTCAGTGAGATAAATTTTGGAAAGAGAAAGACAGAGGTGATGAGAAACAGTTTTGAGCCATGTCACTCAGGGTATCTAACCATCGATTACTAACATCTCGTAGGCACCAACCAGGTAGCCTACATCTACCAACATGATTCAGTCCACTTGTCAGTGACTTCATGGATTTCTGCCATGTTTTGGTTTGGCCGCTGCTAACTTTCTCCCTACCTACTCCTAAACTGCAAAACATAGCTCGTCGAGGCAGTCGGTGGTTAGGCATAAGTAACACAAGTCCCAACCACCTCAGCTGATGGACTTTCAATACTTCATCTATTGATCTGCCATCTCTACCTAGAACTCGTTTCCCAACAACAGCAGCGGTCCGGAAAATGAGTGTTCGCGCGCGCAAGAAGGAAGATCCTATGTTCAATCTCTACACATGGGAGTAGTAAGAAACACAATGGTAAACAGTCCCAACCTAGAACAAAACAGTTTTTTTCACAGCTTCTAAGTTTCTAATAATGATTAAATAAATCATGATTGTCCATAATTAAAAATAACAATCTCCAAAATACTATAATAAATATCTGAATAGTGTGATACGTACACTTAAGCAACATTCCAAAGTTTCAACGGAATACCTTGCAATCGATACATTATGGCAATAAAAATAATAATAATAATAATAATACTGATTTGTAACTTAATATTTAACTTGATTTATTAACACCAAACTACAAATAACTATACATCTATCTCTCAAAAAAAATTTTAACGCCATCTCCCTTAATGAACTATTGCTTATCAAAACAAATACAATCAAATTGTCGAGCGATTCAACCATATGAACTGCTCTGGGTGTATTAATATTTTTCACCGAGAAAAATAATCATTTTCTTTCATTTCACACTAACATAAAAAATACTAATAAAATAGTAAGTTTATTTCTATACTATTCATATAATTAATTAAACGTTTAAGAAAAATTGAGATTTATTTCTACAGTGAAAAAAAACATATATATACTTTGTACTTACTTGAATTTTTAGACATTGTAGATTGTATAGGAATTCCATTGAAATACCAAGTCGGTGTTGCATCAATTATTGTACTTGTACATGATAAATTAATTAAATCGCCTAGATTAGCTGTAACACTACGAGGATAGACT